TTACAGCGTGCTTCTGTCTCCGCGCTGTTGTCGCCCTGCTGATGACGTCAGCGACGCGGTTTAATCGGGCGCGGCTTAGTCGAGCGCGGTTTTGACGGGTCACGTTCTACAAATTACCCCTTTCCTGAAGACTGTGCCCAAGCAGTTACTGTCAGGTTTGTTCATTCCTTAAGAGGATGATGATGGTCCTCTTAACTTTGCCCCCCCCTAATGTTGCCAAACCTCAACTCCCAGTGTTCCCCCAAGTATGGCTAATGGTGAGGGATGCTAGGAGTTGGAGTTCACAGCCAAGGATCCCCTCTTCACAACACAGATATGGGCACAGAGGAAGGAGACAATGAGAGCGAGCCAGCAAAGAAGCCAGAGGCTCAGCAGCAGATCCTTACTGATGCAAGGAAAAGGAACAGCTGGTGGCTGCTGCTGCTCCTAGTTAGTGGGAGTTAGCCAGACACCATTTTGAGGTGATGGGGCAAAGATTATTATTATCAAATTTATTTGCTGCCATCTCCCAGTTTGAAGCAAATCTGTCAGCTATTTGCTGACAGCAGCCCTACAGGAATTACATCTCACCCTACCACCTTAACTTATTCCTCTTCCTAGTTCAACCAATTTTACTTTCAAACTGAAAATAGTTGGCTGTATAGTACAATGTACAATGAAGGAAGAATTCATTTCAGATAGCTTAGACCAGGGGACTCCAATTCCTGGGCCATGGCCCAGAAACTTTTGGTTTCAACATCCAAACTGGATTAATAGTTAAATCAGGGGTAGCAACTCAAGGCCCAGCTGTCTACATCCACTTTTCAGCTTTCAGAGAACATCTAAACTGTGTTGACAAATCAACAGTTTTCAAGGGCATAATTATCCCAGATTTTTCTTTTTGGAGGGACCGGGACAAAATCAGAAGCAAAATTGGTGCCCTAAACCCACTAAGGCACATTATTTACTCAGTACCCTTTTAGTCACTAAAATACACCCCGCCCTTACTCTCAATCATAAAAATATCCAGGGGGTGATACATTTAGCCTCATGCCTTTCGATACCCCTAATTTAGGGGAAACCTTACATTTCCCTGTTCTTCCTTTTTTAAAAGTGTTACCCATAATTCCAAAAATCCAGTGAAGCTGTTTGAAGGGTCCATAAATGGAGTTTGCATCAGTGCAGAGATGCAGCAAAGTCTCTGTAAAAGGATCAGCTTTACTATAGAGTTGTTCTTTGAACCCTTTTGCCCTCCTTATTTCCGTGACTTACCGAGGGCAGAGAAAGTTCTTCTTCACATTTTCTTTTTGCAGGAAGGCAAAAAGACTGCCTAATTCAGTGTTTTGCACACAATAGCAATAGCACTTAGACTTATATATCGCTTCACAGTGCTTTACAGCCCTCTCTAAGTGGTTTACAGAGTCAGACTATTGCCCCCAACAATCTGGGTCCTCATTTTATCCACCTCAGAAGGATGGAAGGCTGAGTCGCCCTTGAGCCGGTCAGGATTGAACTCCTGGAGTGAGCAGTGAGTTAGCCTGCAGTACTGCATTCTAATCACTGTGCCACCATGGCTCTTTTAATGCCTACTGTAGCATTTTAAAAATAATCCAGGAGGAGTAATTAAAAGCTAATGTTTTTAAATGATGACAGGTTTTTGATTTTTATTCTCACAAAACTTTCTAGGTGCAGAAGCTCATGAGCCAGGTCAATTTCACTCACCAGCCCTGCTCTCCCACTTTTTAAATTTCTAATGACCTGCAACGTATCTTCATGAAACAAATCAAATGTTCAAAACAATTTATATTGAAGCCTTTAAGGAGCCATGGGGGAAAGAAAGGATTTTATCCAAGAGGCTTAGTAACTAAATCAGGGGCACCAAACTTGATTTCATTGAGGGCTGCATTAGGGTTGGGTTTCACCTTGGTGGGGCTGGGGTGGGTGTGTCCAGGATGGGCATGATCAGCTTGACGTCACTCGTATCAGGGGTGCCTGTGGAGGCCCGAGTGCTTTGCCAGTGAAAACAGGCTCCCAAGCTCCACTTTCAGCTGCAACAGCCTGCTACAACCTCTAACAGAAAAAATGGGGCTCGGAAAGGCTGTGTGTTTTCACTGGCAGAGGCACAGCGACCTGGTCCTTCACTGTTTCCAGGTGGGCCCTGCGGGCCAGATTTAAGCACCCCGCGGGCCGGATGTGGCCCGTGGGCCTTGAGTTTGACACCCCTGAACTAAATGATGACCAGCTAAACCTGAAACAAAATACTGCAGGTTCCCTTTCTACACACAAAGATCCACAGGCATGGTCTTGCCACGGCTTCCTTTGGGGTGCTTGCATTTATATTTTTAATATAGATCTATTCACGCCAAGTTGCCCAATTATACTGACATTCTTCCTTGTTTTTCTCTAATCCCATATTACTTCCTTTCTGTGGGCACTAGATCAGTAAAGGGGGAAAGGAGAGGATAGAATGGGGATCATGGACAGTGAGATGAACCAACTCCTAATTTTATTGCCCACCCCAACCTCAACGAAGATGGGGAAAAAACTCAGTCTTCTGCCCAGCATTTTCTCCCACGTAATCCTCCGCTCACCTCTCTTCAGAAGGGCACTGTTAAGAAGCACAGTGCCCCCACGACTCAGGTCCGAACAATCCCAGCGCCTCTCTTGCAACTGGTGTTGGCACTCGTGGAGGGCCAGGTGGATGCCCTGTAAGGCTGAAGCCATCACTTCTGGGCTGCGTACACAGAGTCCAAACTGGCGTCGGCTCAGCCAGGGCAAGGTCATGCACATGGCATTAGAATTCAGAACAGATTCTGCCAGCACTTTGGGTCCCAAGGAACTGTGGCCCAGCATTCTGAAAGAGAAAGAAAAAATTGAGAGGAAAAGAGAAAATGGGCAGGAAGCATTTTATTGCTTGATCTCAGAGTAAGAATGACTTAGGCTTAGGAAAGAGAGAGGGAAAGAAAGAGAGAGTGGTGGAGGGAGGGGGGAGATTCAATTGTGCATTCCTGATGCAATGGAATGTGTGGATCACCTTGGCAAATGAGACAAAGAGATGCTCATTGGAAAAAATGAGCATCCAAGAGAGGCAGGAGCCCCTTCGCAGGGGTTTGGGAGAACCTCTAGCTAAGATTCTGTGCAGTTCAGAGAACCCTCAAATCCCACTCCTTGCCCTGCCCACTCTGCCCCCCCCCCAGGAGTCCCCATGCGGCCCATTTTGGACACAGGTAAATGCAGGGCACATGCAGATACTCGGGGAGGGTGAAAAATGGGCCTACCGAAAGTTCAGGAAGGCTGGAAATGAGCCCGTTTCTGGCCTCCAGAGGGCCTCCAAAGGCTGGGGAGGCTGTTTTTGCCCTCCTGGAGGCTCGAGGAAAGCCTCTAGAGCCCAGAGACGGCAAAAATGCCCCCACCCATCGGGGTGCAGGAGGCTGACTAGGCCACGCCCACCATGGCCATGTCCACCCAGCAACTGTGGAGCAACCCTTGCCAAAAATTTTGAATCCCACCCCTAGGCTTAATGGTCAGAGAAAGAAACTTAGGAAGGACCTGCCCTAATGGATCAAGCAATTAAAAGCGATAGTGGGAAGTTTGTACTCTCAGACTTGCAAGATTCTGTTAAAGTAACCTTACAATTAAGCAGAATTAGTTTATCTAGTTGTATTTCTTATCTGGTTTGTCTGGGAAGGCTGACATCCTAATTGTAGCATCAACATGCCCGGCAACCACTTTTTTTTATCCTGTGTCCTCCCAGGGTGTCAGGCTTCCCAGGTAGATCAGACAACAAACACAACCAGATGAGGTAATTCTACTTTATTGCAAGGCTACATTAGCAGAATCTTACAAATCTGAAAGTATAAATCTCTGGCTGTCTCCGTTAACAGCCTGATACGTTAGAGGGAGTTCCTTTCTGAGTCGCTTTCTCTGCCTGTTATGCAACCACGGGTTCCCTCTCCTCCCCTTATCTAACTGTTCCCTAGGCAGCATCTCATCATTCCCCTGTCTCCCAAGGCAAATTCCCACATACCATAGACCAGGGTTGCCTTTGCCGCCTCCTCAGTACAGAGCTAAGTTGATTTGGAGTCATCTTTAGCTGACCTAGTTTCCAAGTAGTGAAAGGGCTTCTCTCCTGAAATCATTTTGACCACTGGTACAACCTAGCATGATTCATCACTAGCATTGCTATGTGGGTGTCGACAGGGTTGGGATCTACCAAGGTCCTATCAGCCACTTTACGTTGCTGAAAACCTACCCTTACTACAGTAGCCATTTGGGTTAGGTTGCAGGAAAAACCGGATACCGAGTGCCTACCACCTGTATTTTTCTACAAATCATTGGTGCTACAATTTGGCAGCTTCAAGAGATGTGGGCTTCTCAGAATTCCAGGAGATCAAACATTGATCTAGGTCCATGATGGAGAACCTGTGATACACATGCCACAGGTGCAGTGTGGGTTCCGGATCCCAGTGCAACCAGTACGGTGCAACGGGGCTGGGTGTCCACCACCTGAACGCGTGCAGCATGTGTGTACTTACTGCCTGCGACACTCCATGATGCTTTAGCTACGTGATGGGGCGTCGCGCAGGCGCTGTATGCTTGGTACGCGGAAGCCCCGAACAGGTCAAATACTGGTAAGGCACATGGGTGGGCGGGTGGGCCCTCCAGAGCACCGTACTGGAACGGTATCTGGTGCTCCCGGCAGGCACTAGTACGCCCGTACTGGGGCGTACCAGTCGTAACCCACCAATGCACAGGTGACACGCAGAGCCGTTTCTGAAGGTATGCGAGGCATTACCCTGTCAGTGCTAGCACACATACACGTGCTGGCAGACTGATTTCCGGCCATTTTCCACCTCCGGAGGCTTCCCTGAAGCCTCTGGAGGGAGCAAAATGGCCTAATGGGCAACTGAGTGTGGGCATGTCCGTGCATGGCCTCCCCACATTCCTCCCGCTTTTGGCACCCCTCAACAAAAAGATTAGCCGTCA